TTTAGGACATGGTCTGGATTTCGTGCTTCAACACGAAAATGATCCCAAACATACCGCAAAACTTACAAAGGAATGGTTTGAAAATAATGGTATTAGTACTCTCAGTTGGCCAAGTCAGTCTCCTGACTTGAATCCAATTGAGAATTTGTGGAATACGTTGAAGGTTAAAGTTCATAAGCGGAATCCACAAAATATCAAGCAATTAGAGGAATTATGCAAGGAAGAATGGGGTAAAGTAACGGTGGATTAGTGTGAAAAACTTGTGGTCATCTATAGAAAGCGACTGGAAGCAGTGAAACAAAAACAGAGGCTACGCAACAAAATATTAAATTGATGTATCCAATACTTTTGCATAGGGTAATTTTGAACTTTGATAAAAAAAAAAAAATGGATTCAACCATGAGTTTTTAAATGTTCCTTTCACATACAACTAAAACAACTTTACGAGATATTACTTACCAAATATCAGGCAAAATGGCGAACATAAACTAGTTATAACAGAAAATACCATGTATCCGATACTGATGCGTGTCACTAATATATATATATATATATATATATATATATAAAATGAAGTTACTCATGCTTGTCTTAGTGATCAAACAAAAACCTTTTTTAGCTATAGGGTGTGAATTCTTTCAGCTATTTCATATAAAAGAAAATAGACAATTAATATTGATTTATCTTGAATTCACTGTAAATAATTTTTCATCGTAGCCTTTTTCGGATGGTGTTAAAAATCATTATTTTGCCACTGTAATCCATATAGAAGTTTCATTCAAAGACGTCGTTTTTCCGTCTATTTTTGATCCGCAATTTATTCTCTGCTTCGATCGGATTTTCTGGAACCTAATCCACGAAATGATAGTCTGCTGCAATAAGATATTGCTGACTGAGAACCATAGCTGCAATATTATAAGGAAAGTATTCCGAAGACTACATCGTTACACCAGATTGGAATGTTATTTAGATGTTATGTTTGTTAGAGTGTTAATGTTATTGATTGCAACTTTGTCGACTTTTCAAATAAGTATTTTTCGAATGAATAAAAGAAACTATATTTTTATTTATATTGAAGCTTTGTTTTTAAAGCGTGATGGAGGAGGGTTTAAGCAGTTATAGGTATTCAAACAGGTTGATATTCATTATTTTCATCTTGCTGCTTCTTTATGGGCCGCGTTCCACTTCAGAACGTAGACGATCATGGCCCTCCAGATATATCGGTCCTTCGCAGCTTTTAATAAATTTTTTGTCTTTTTGTTATCTCTCCTAAACCCTGTTCCGCCATCCATTTACTCAAGCACACTAAGTATGCTATGCGATGTCCGTCTGTCCTGTTAGTTTCAGATTTTACAAGCCCTCCTTCCTCATTATAAATGCCCCAGAAACCTCAACTGTATTTTCCTGATGTTAAATAATAGTTTCCTTTTTGTTACCATTTCCTCAAAAATTTCCTCGTTACTCACATGTTCGGTCTACACCCTCAGCAGGCTTCTGTAAGTTATATATATTTCTGTTTCTTCAAGTCTCTTCATCTTTGACGAGATCGTCCAGCACTCACTGCTATACAGAAAGATAGTACACTTGTTTCTAGCGAAATTTTCCTACTTCTTTGCGCTCTGTCTATCTATATTTCTGAGATGAGGTATTATGTACATTATTCGGACTATTGCACTCATCGTTGTCGCCACATTTGTCACAACGTTTCGGCCGTTGTACGCTCCGACCTTCTTCAGGTGGTTGGAATGTCGAACTGAACCCTTTATTTCGCTCACTGGGGTAGACTGTTCTAGTTCCACGTGCCATGTTTGATGGATGTCAGTTATCTCCTGTTAATTTCCCTCTGAAATTTCTCCACTGCCTTAACCGGGTATTGAACTCACACTCTTTGGGTCCTGTCACTGGATCTAACCAACACCTTTATCCACTGTGTCACGTATCTTTGTACTCTGTTTAACTTTTGGAATGCTTCCTTTGCTATCCCAATTCGCCTTCGGATATCGGTGTCGGTTTTTCTGCCCTCTGAAGAAAACATTTTCCATTTAAATTTTCACCCTTGTTTGATTTTGGTACCTCCGATTTACAATCCGCACTTTCTGTGTCTGCTATCAACTTACGTAACTGTATCCCTGTTTTTATAAGTATTTATATTTTAGCCCAAACAGTTGTTTTTCATTTTATTTTTTAATTTTATTAATTTATTGTAGTAATTATATTTCTTAATTTGTTTTATTTTATAGTGTTATAAGTAGATTTTAATCACCATGTGTGTATGATATACAAAAACTTGTCACCTCCTACCAAAATTAATAAGAACAATAGAAGAACAATACAAAGCACATGTATTGGATTCAGTTTAATCTTTCATTGACGCTGTCAAATATCAAAATGGGTATTCTGGTATCGTTCATGTGAAATTCTCTCCTTGATAATACCTCACTGAGCGTTGTTATATTATGTATGGGTGACGAGACTTTCGGACCACTCTTTATATTGTTTTATTTTATAAAAAATTATTTTCATGATCAAACCTGCTTATGCTTCAGGTCATAAACACAAAAACTGATAGCTTATATAAAATGTAATGAGAACACGAGAAGAATGAGTAATACAGTAATTACAAAGCACATGTACTGGATTAGGTTTATTCACTTTTATTGACGCTGTTACATATCGATAAGGTCTGTATGAACACGATCATTTTCATGGCACAAAATAATGTGGCGTCATATCCTATGTGATATTTTACGAAGCTATGCTTCGTTGATTGTTGCAAAGGCTCCCCGAATGGCGTCCTACAACTAATGGGTACTCTGGTATCGTTCATGTGAAACTCTTCTTGACAATACGTCACATATATGTAGGGGGTGACAAGACTTTCGAACCACCTTTTACATTAATTTAGATTAAACAGTAGGGCAGAATTCTACTCCGTAACTGCCACAAGATCTTGCAGACTTAAAAAGGTGCTTAATACAAGAGCTGCACAGCAAGAATAAAAAAAATTGAAGATGCAAATATTCCACGTTATATTATAATTGAAATATTTCCACCATGATTTAAAATTTATGGAGTTTTTTTTTTCTTAACTCACTGTAGAAGCATGAACGTTTTGCTGCGTTTTGCTTTAAACAAACAACTCATTAAAGAAAAAACACCCGCAGAAGTTAACTGCACAGGTTTCGACAATCAGTTCATCAGAATTAATCTATTATGAGTTGAGAAGATCCCAAACATAACATTTCAGGTTCTCTCTATATATCACTCTCTGTTTACTTTGCTTGATTAATTTTCTATTGGAAAGAAAAGCTATCAAATAAAGCTCTGTTTTTCTTGATTTAAATTTTTCATCAGTTTGAAGTGAATCCGTTTAAGACATTTACTTTATCAAATCCTTCACCCGTTTAAAAATGTTCCCGGATTCAGAATACAGAAAACGTTTAAAATATGAAACCATTTTCAAATATTTTAACATATTTCCGGGTAACTAATGATCATCTATAATTATTTTTCTTCAAATAAAAAAGTTCTGTTTGCTTTAAGGGAGTGAAATACTGAGTTACGCGTAGCTTGAAAAATATGATGACTAAAGGTTTTGAAATCCTTCTACGATAAATCGGTGTTGGCAAATAACGATAATAATTTCAGCACAACATTATTATGAAGAATTCTTATACAATGGCAAGTGATTTCGTAAATATCAGAAAAATGAATCCTATAAAAATTATTCTTGGATGTAAAATAGGATTGCTTTGAGATATCTCGAAGACGATTCGTTGTCTTTTGGGTACTGTCACTTCATAACGTTGGCGATCATAGCACTCCACAATTTTCTGCCCTTTGTAGCTCTTAATAAAATTAGTTTTTTTGACTAAGTGTATGAAAAATAAAATGAAAACAATACTCAAACCAGAAGGAAAATGCTTAGTCGATTTAAATAAACCACGTCTACAATTTATGTAATAAAGTATAGATAAAAAAAAACTTTTTTTTAATCATTTCACCCCAAGCAAGGTGGAAATGCTACTTGTACGTAGGAGGTTACAGAAGGAGAAAGCGAGAAAAGAGACTGAGTATTAATTTAGAAACAACGAATATCCAAGGATAGAGCTCTGGGCAACACCTTCATTAACATAAATACATCAAGAAGAGTTGCCGTTCAAGACAACTTTCATTTCGAGATTTATTTTCAAAGAAAATTGAGTCAAATGGAAAACATCGTCAAGAAACACCATAACCCTTCAACTTGTCAAACGAGAGATTTCTAAAGCAACATCTGTGATGAAATTATCTAAAATTCAATGCCGTATAGAAGCATTGATATTACATAGCAATTCAGCATTCTTTTCTTTATTTCTAATGATATTTTTATAATACTTTGCTTAGCTTCTGGAAGGAGCCTTTTGCTATTGCAATACAACTACAAATTTCAGGGTCAGGTTTTTCTTCCTCTATTAATACACTAACCAGTGAACAATACCTTTTCATGTTAAATAAAAAATAAAGAAGACTTAATTCGCCAAATGTAATGGAGATGGCAAAGAGTAATTATAATAATCCATAAAAGTTAGCAGTCGATTTTTGTTAAGCTTAATCTAGTGTGACACTATCAATATTAACAGCACCTTGTAAAGTCGAAATCACTGCCAATATCTTGTGAATTTAGCATACTAAGCATCAAATTACTGTAGATGTTCAATAAAATTTAAATCGGAATTATTTTCTCAAGTTTTGATGTGTGTTTAATCGAATGTTACGCTTTAAATAATTTTGTAAAGGAAATTAGTAATCGGCACTAGCTTTTAACAGAAAAAGATAAAACTTTTTTACCATAAAAACCGACTGATCTCATTAGACATGACATGAAAAACTTTTACGTTGACAAGCTTATATTCACCTCATCATTTTTCTTTCTGTGTGTCTTTGGGAATACACGTTGCGAGTGGCATCAAGTAAAATAAAAGAAAATAGCAAATTTTAGAGAAGAGATGAAGTTTGTAATGATCACAGTTCTGTCTATAACCTTGAACGTTGATATTTCAAGACAACTTTTCAGCCTACCCCTACTATCTTCTTCAGGTTTATCATCCGAATGGAAAGATTGTGATACATTCTTTTTTCTTTTTTTAACAGTACAAATTGTATACATTATACGCTTGGAGAAGGCTGGCAAATAAATCAAGAAAAACTGCAGCACAAAAAATGTGTTATCCAAACAGAAACTCGGAACATTATGGCCTTGGTTTGAAGTTAATCTAAGCTTTTTAAATAACAAAGCTTAAAACAATTTTGGATATTTAATATTTTAAGCTACTGTAGCACACAAGGATAAAACATTTGTGTTTTTATTAAATGCGTTTAAAATTTACAATAATTTTAAAAACAGAATAGAAAAATAGATAGAAAAGGCAATATTATTAAATACAGTAGCGTCACATGTAATCGAACAAGATTTAGTGTGCTTTTCCAACAAAGATATACTAGCTCGTATCAAAACACCCAGCGAGGAGCGGGAGTCTGCGTGAAAGGTTCACCGTTCGTTATTCATGGAGTCGTTTCTCATTGGATGTTTTTTCAGGTTTAGGCCAACGATTTTATAAATTCAATTCGTTTTAATTACTAAAGAAAAAAAAAGAACCGTTCTGAGTTCTTTTTTAAGAGGCAAAAAGGAAGAAGAAAAGATCTTTCATTAACTCAAACTTACAACAGAGAAAGTAATTTGAGGAATTTGACATCACCTAGGTAACGTAAGACTTGTCGTCTTAAATATATTATCTGCCCACGTAGTGTTTAAATGTGAAAAAAAAATATCAAAAATAAACTCAGCACGTCTCAATTCTTGATGACATATTCCAGATTATCGCACTGAATCGATCTTGAATTTATATTATCTTTTGTGCGCCTAATTTCATTGAAATATTTCCAATATTTTTGAGTGATTTTTATTTTATATATATATATATATATATAAAATACTTCTTTTTCAAAAAAAAAACTTTTTAAAATGTCAGTATACATAAATGTAACTGAATGGATTGCAGCTGCTGGCAGGGGATAACTTTGAAAAGAACTCAGGGTTTTGCTGAACGTCGAAAGATTTAAGAATGTATATCTTAACAGGCAGCCATTCTTACTCGTATACGAGGTGTCAGTGTTTATTCAACAAATGAATTTTCTCAGTAAACATTGCTTAAAACATTTATACAGCTAAAAAAGAAAGTCTAACATGTGTACACGAAAACAAAAATAATCAGTTCCATTCGAGTAATACAAGAGGCACATAATTCTTAGAAAAATGCGAAGATGACACTTACCAGTGTGTATTGTATGTTCATCAACAGTGACGTATCAAGAGACTCAACAAAATTTGTTGACATGTATGTTATAAACTGTTAATTTTTACGAGATTGTCTACAAAAATGATCTCTCCCGAAGGACTTAAATAATAGGTTAGTTTGGTTTATTTTGTCTTACGGCATATCAACCTGAATGGGTTATTTAATGCCGACAATATTTTTATTGCTGCTATGTTATTTTTTTTTTGGTTTTTCAATGTATTGCTACTATTTTTTCTTCAAAAATTAATTACTGGTAATAATTTTTACAAATTTTTAAACATTTTAAATTCTTCATGATAATATATTTTACATATCAGTTTCTCTCTTGAGTAAATAGTTATGTACATTTATTCCTGAACGGGTGGATAATAACCTTCCCGATGGCATCAGCTCTCAACTTGATATTTATGCTAATAACCTTTTACTCTTGTCTCTAGATTAAATCTGATCAGTTTAATAAGGCAGCTGATATCCAAAACGACCTTCAGTCTATTGCAAACTCTCTTGTTAATTTTAATTTATTAATCATTTGAGAGAACCCTGACTTACTTCCATCAGCATGGCTGATGCTGTCTTCTGGGAGAGAGTGACTCGTTGAACCATGGGCTAATGTTCTCAGCTGATATGAAGTGAAAAGACTATACTGAATCCATCGCTAGGTCATCTGCTAGGATGCTTGGCGCCCTGTATTATGCTAGACGATTTTTGTCTCCAGAGTGTATTTTTCATATTTATAAATCTACCATTCGTACATGCTTAGAATTTTGCCGCCACATATGGTTCGGTGACCTGCTATTTATCAAGAGTTCCTTGGTAAAATCCAAAGAAGAATTTTAGCAATATTGTTTGCCCCGATCTGGCGTCTTACATTCAGTCACTTTCTCACCGCCGTAAGGTTGCCTCCTTTGCCTTTTCTATAAATACTTTCATGATAATTGTTCGAATGAGCTCTTCACTATTGTGCCAAGACTCTTTGAATTTAAGCGCAGTACTAGACTGATAATGAGGTCTCATCAATTTATAGTTGAGCTGGCTAGATGTAACCGTAAATTTTATGCTAACATTTTCTGTTCTCGTACTTTTCTCTTGTGGAATTCCCTTCCGATTCTATGCTTTCCAGCCAACTTTAATCTTCCCAAATTTTAATACAATGTCAATCGTTATCTACTGTCTTCCTGATTAATCTTCTTCCGTTCTCACTCCCGAGCAATTGTTCCTGTTTCTAACTCTTCCACGACCAGTAACTCGTCAGTGGCTTTTTTTTTTTAGTCAGTCGCTCACTTTCTGAGCGACTGCTCGGTTGAACTCTCTTCCTACGGACGGGAGGAACCGGAAGGAGGCTACGCCGAAGGGCGGAGTCTCTTTCGGGGAGGTGAACCGGCCCTGAACCCGTTTATGCGGGTTCAATGGGCATATTTTTGGCCGAGCCCACGGGCTCGGAATGCCCACGTTAAAAAGGCCTTGTGCCACATGACACCCTCGTGGGGGGGGTGACTGAATATCGTCAGTGGCTTTTCGACCTTGCTTTAGAGTGAACTTGATTTTTTTTTTTTAAGTATTAAATTCGCTTCTGTAAAAGATTTTGTCTACATACGATAAGTCAGGAAATGACCCAATCCTTTTTAGACGGTCAGTCCGGAAATGACGCAGGCATATTAACGAAAGCAATAGCCTACCTAAGGCAATGTTACCTTGGTCCTCTAAAATTCTCCTCTTGAGACCTCATACACTTCCATATTTTTGAGCTCACTTTCTGAATTGCCATCAGTTGACTCTTCGCGTTCTCCTTAATCTCTCCCGCGGCGATAAGAGAAAATTAAATTTTCTATAACACATAGGGAAAGCGGGCTTTGACACTCAGAGGATATAATGACGGCAAAAAGAGTAGAAACCTACTTGTGTAAATGGATGACAGAAAAACAGTGAAAGGGATAGTAATCCGCCAAACATAGCTAGTAGGCGCAACATGATAGAGAGTTATGATTGCCCACGTCCTGAAGTGACACAACACACACAAGAAATAAGGTGAAGGTTTCTATAGAGATCTACAGTCATTTTTCTCAATGCAGTCAGTTATGCGCCATTCGTGATACACGTTTAGAGGATAATGTATCTTTCGATACATGACTGACTAGGCATATTTTTTTCTGTAGTGGATTGCCATTTCTTTCTGCGGTAGACCAGTTTCCATCCAAGGCTATAGAACCAGGTCTGTCCTGCTATTTACCTATAGCTGGGGGACAAGAGGATTCATACCTTTCTCAATGGTATTATCACGTAAGTGAATGTAATGGATTCGATTGGAATTCGAACTCAGTTCTGGACTGCACAAGTACCTTTTTATACCTTTTTTGTATCTTTTTTTTTTTTTTTTTTTAGTATTTTATCAGATTTTAGTAATTTTGTTGCATTAATGATTTCGTTTCTTCTTTGTTTTTCTATTTGTTTTAATTCAAAGCTCATCCAGATTTTTCAAACTGCGCCATTATTGGTGGCTAGCAACTTTCAATATCATGCTTGAAATGCTTCCTCTAAATAGTCAAAATAACAGTGTCATATTTTTCTATCGTATCGCTTCTTACCTGACTGTTCCTGGTATATTCTTTTTAATATATGAGTGATTAAAAGCATTCCTGTCCGTGTCATCTGTTAATCTGATGTGAATTTGTAATTTCGCCAGATGGCCTGCTGAAACTACCGCAGTCAGTATTTCAGACACCTACTTGTTGACAACAACGAGATTTGATTGCCTGACCTGGTTAAGTATGATTAGCTCCTCTTTGAATGTTGGTCTTACGGCTATATCATGTTGAAATACCAATCCCCGTACGATCATGAAAGTTAAGCAACGTCAAGCATGGTCAGTACCTGGATGGGTGACCTCTTGCAAATACCAGGTACTCTAAGCTTGGATGTTCGGGTGATTTAATGGATAACGACTCTGAATTATTCATATGATAGCCGAGTTCCAATTCTGGTTGAGTTTGTTATATTAACATGCACAAATACCCATGAGAAAGGTATGAATCAACGTCTTCTTCCCAACTATGGGTTAATTATTAAGACTTGTATCACTAAAACTAATATCTCCAAAAATCAAGTATACGTACAGTATATTTAGACTTGGGCATTAAAAACCCACGTTTTGAGCTGGCTAGATGTAACCGTAAATTTTATGCTAACATTTTCTGTTCTCGTACTTTTCTCTTGTGGAATTCCCTTTCGATTCTATGCTTTCCAGCCAACTTTAATCTTCCCAAATTTTAATACAATGTCAATCGTTATCTACTGTCTTCCTGATTAATCTTCTTCCGTTCTCACTCCCGAGCAATTGTTCTTGTTTCTAACTCTTCCACGACCAGTAGCTCGTCAGTGGCTTTTCTTCTTTTTTTTTTTTTTTTTAGTCAGTCGCTCACTTTCTGAGCGACTGCTCGGTTGAACTCTCTTCCTACGGACGGGGGAACCCGAAGGAGGCTACGCCGAAGGGCGGAGTCTCTTTCGGGGAGGTGAACCGGCCCTGAACCCGTTTATGCGGGTTCAATGGGCATATTTTTGGTTGATATGCCGCTCAACAAATACGACCAATCAAATGTTTGAATGTTCCCAGTTCGAGTGGATTGTCACACTTCGTTATATCGTCGAATTCGAGCCATCTTTATTGTTTTCGGCTCTTCTCCATTCAATCGCATATACTTCACTGTTTTCTTTGAATAGGCCTTATCAAAATAAAATGAAGGTATACACCGGCCCCCAAAAAATGTGGAAAGTACCAAACCATTTTTTATATTTCGAGGACCTGTTTACAAGATGTCTCGCTGCGCATGAATGAATAAACACTTTCCCCTTGTGGTTATTCGGTCAGCAGTAAGACCATATTTGACACATGTGCAGTAGGAAACCGTCACATTCATCATGACAATATTTTCGCTAATTCCTTCCCTGCTCATAATTACTTTTTGTCTTTCAACAAAACCTCACATCACTCAGGTATTTTGGATTTGATTTCTTGCAATTTCAGTCTTTCCCAAAGTTAAAATCGCCATATCGGATATTTCAGTTCGTGAACGAGATTAAGGAGAACGTGATATTCTAGCTTATGCTGGTCACAAAAGAGGGATTCATAAACTGTTTGGAAAAATAGAAAGGATGCTGGATCAGTTCCAAAGGGAGTACTTTGGAGAAGACTAAGGCATCAATGGATTATTTTTTTTTGTTCCTATTAAATAGCTGGATGTTTTCTTGGCGGATCTCGTGTTTTTTTAGTCTATGAAATTTTTAAACTGTTAGATACTTTCAACCTGTTTTTCTACGGATTGATTTAGAAATACGTCAGTAAAAATGATATCGAGAAGCGATTCCTAAATACAAACAAATAAGTTACTACGTTGGAAAAATCCAAAATAGATTTATATTATAACGTTACAACATCAAATTTTAAACTTCGTAAGGAGAGAGACGAAATGTTAGAAAAAAAATTACAGTTTTACTACCTAGGAGATCCCTTACCACAGAGACTTTTTAAATTAGCCTCAATAGAAACATTATTTAAAACGTGACACATTTCTCGCAAACACAAATAATTGTTTAAAAAAAATGAAAAATACTTTCCAAAATCTGAAATAACTTTTTTCTATTTTTTTTCTTTAGCTTCTTGATCAGGCTGAGAACTTTTCAGCTTTTCCGCGTATATTTCAGACATTCAAAATCATGAACAGCAAACAGGGATTTTTGTCTGGATTAAAGGAAAGGAAAATATCTTTACATACCACAGTGTAATAATGTCTCAATTTATTTCCTTTTGAGGACAATTTAATGTTGTAAAGACCTACAAGAATTCATTATGGACAGTATTTACGTTATTCGGACTGTTATCCTCATCTTCATTGCCATATTCATAACGTTTCCGCCGTTGTACGCCCCGGCCTTCTTCAGGTGATTGGAATTTCGAATCGAACCCTTTATTTCGTCCACCGAGGTAGATTATTCTAATTCCACGTGCTATGCCTCTTCCGGACGAAATAAAGGGTTTGGTTCAAAATTCAAATCAACTGAAGAACCCCAGAGTGTGAATATGGCAATGTAGATAAGGATAACAGTCCGAATAATGTAAGTAATCATAATACCTCATGTCGGAGATATAAACAGATACCTATGGACAAGTTTGAACATCTTAAGATTCTAAAGCTACATCAGTTATATAATTACTTCGCTAAATTAATTTAAGTAATCAGAATAAGTTAATTTTCATTCAAAAAATTATTCTTCACTAAATGTGAAATGGAATCATCAAGTCTGCTATTACATTTTGAAACGTTAATTCCCAGATAGTGAACTGAAGTTGTATTTAAACTGTTCTGCTAATATTCTTTGTCAATACTTAAATTGAAAATAATTTATATTGTCATAATTGTGTTTGCAATCATTAAATAAGTTTTGTTGTCAATATTGTTCTATTAATGTCTAATCCACTTTAAGCAAAAGTACAGTAAAGAGACTGCGCATCTATTGTCCACCGCCTTGTCTTTAGCACTTAAGAATTAAGAGCCAATTAAAAGGACAAAATGAGCTGAATGCTAGTTTTCTATGACAAATGATGCGGATGGAATAACATTTTGTAGTAAACACCCAACTATTTCTATATTATGTATGTTAAATCTCTCTTCTTTATTGTGTTAGGCTTATTTTGTTCTCTTAACGTATAATTTATCTTTCTCCTTTTCTTTCCGCGTCACTCTCTCTCCTTCCATTCTCTCTTTCTCTCTCTCCTTCCATTCTCTCTCTCTCTCTCTCCTTCCATTCTCTCTCTCTCTCCTTCCATTCTCTCTCTCTCTCCTTCCATTCTCTCTCTCTCTCCTTCCATGCTCTCTCCTTTCTCTCCATCTCTCCTTTCTCTCCATCTCTCCTTTCTCTCTATCTCTCCATCTCTCTTGTTTTCTCTCCTTTCTCTCTCTCTCTCTTGTTTTCTCTCCTTTCTCTCTCTCTCTTGTTTTCTCTCCTTTCTCTCTCTCTCTTGTTTTCTCTCTTTTTTCTCCTTGTTTTTTTTCTCTCTCTTCTTTTTTCTCTCCTTTTTCTCTCACTTGTTTTCTCTCCTTTTTCTCTCTCTCTCTCTCTCTCTCTCTTGTTTTCTCTCCTTTCTCTCTCTCTCTCTCTCTCTCTCTCGTTTTTTCTCTCTTTTTTCGTTTACTAAATATACCTGCCGGTACCATTCATTTATTTCCTCTAATCCCCAACCGGCACTTTGCTTATTTGGTTTAACACGGTTATTTTATTTCCTAACATCCATATTTCTTACAAAATAATTAATCGATCACTTAAAATCATACAAAATGCTTGCTTTTACGTAAACCTAAGCAACGACTACTAACAGTTTTAAAGTATATTTTTATCTTCATTCACTCTTTTCGTTAGTATCGCTGAAGATAAACCTTATGATCTATGATCTCAGAAAGGATAAATTCTTTATCTAGACAGAAAGGGGATAAGATTTGAGTTCGATTTTTGTCCATTTTTTGCGGGGGTGTTCAGCGAAAACGACGTCCATAATTTTAAAGTATGGATGGAATAAAAAAAATAAATGCTTTTTTTTCCCCCCCTGAAAAGTACTCCCAAATGACGGATATTTTTTAATTCGTCCCAGCAACGAAAAGCCCTTATCTAATCTTACACCTAACACGAAGTAACAGAATAAACTTAGCATATCAATTCCCACTGGTTGTGAAGATTTTTTTGGTTTGATAAACACCCAAAAACATGATGTTGATTTTGTTTTCTTCCATTTCAAATATTTGAGAGCATTTTTTTTTTTTTTTTTTTTTAGCAAAACTTAAAAAAATCAACCATTTCATGAATATGGAACCGGGATAACTTTAAGTGTGAAAATATAGGGGCCGGACTAAGTAAGTGAAGTTAGTGGCCATGGGCGGTGGGAAAACATGGATTGTGGGTAACGGTGATGATTATAAAACGGAAGTTTTTTTTTTCATTTTTTTTTTTTTTTTTTTTCTTTCTTTCTTCGACATTTTCTGGCATTTTTCGGGTTGTTACATACACTGAAGAATAGTCTTAAACTGACTTTGAAACGTGCGTATAACTGCAAAAAGCCTGTTTCCAATATAAAATATGTACACCAAAGGTTTGTCTATCGATAACTGTCAAGCTTAACCCAAAATTTGATAGTCACGTTGTTCGAATTTTTAAGCCATCGTAAAGATCACAGAGCCGTTACAACATATCGTTACCAAACCTCACATCATAACACGATTAACAGGCTGACTCAGTTAGCCGGGTAATAATGCGCTTTAGCTGCACGTATTTTTCTATGGAATGATACGATCATTGCATGTGGGTATTTGTCTAGACGGTATGTGATGCTGTGTAAGGGCCCATTTTCCCCTAAAATATATCCGGATTCGTGTACAAAAAGCTTATGTATATTCTCGATTAATGTTTACCGAGACAGCATCGAGTATCAGTATCTATAATTCCATACCACTATTTTTAAGTAGAAATAGAGGTTTTTCCAAATATAATGAATACCGTTGAATTACCTGATTTATTTATAACTAAAGAAATCAATGATTTTGAGTGCTTCACATTCTTATACACCGCTCGACTAGTTTGACAATTCTGTGTTGACATAACTTCAACACAGAATTACCACATCAGTCGAGCAATGTATTTTTAGGGCAGGAGTGAATACGCCTTTTCTATAAACCTTGTTTCTTTTCACTAGTAGAACAACATTAAAACTCTCTCATTGAACATGTCCTTAAATTTCTGATTGCTATCAACAAAACAAATGCAAAATATTCGATGGTATGACCAGAAAAATGCAGTTATTAAATCGTTTGCTAAAACGTAATGATATTGCATATATAACTTCAAAACTCTGAGGGAATTGATATTTGCATTTAATACCTTCAGTGAAAATGGTCCTTTTTTTTCTATCTTTTTAGACTTTTGGGGTATCATTTGTTTTTTTTTCTTATTGCTTTGTCACTTATGTGCACCGTTTTTTTGTGTGTCTTTTTTGTTTTTTGTCTGTCTTGCTTTTTTAATTTTTAGTGTCGTGTATGTCTTGCTTTTTTAATTTTTTGTGTCGCGTGTGTCTTTTTTAATTTCTTGTGTCGTGTGTGTCTTTTTTTTAATTTCTTGTGTTGTGTGTGCTTTGCTTTTGTAATTGTTTCTTTTATCTTTGTGTGTCTTGTTTCTTCTGTCCTCGTGGTGTGTGTGTCTTGTTTCTTCTGTCCTCGTGGTGTGTGTGTCTTGTTTCTTCTGTCCTCGTGGTGTGTGTGTCTTGTTTCTTCTATCCTTGTGGTGTGTGTGTCTTGTTTCTTTTATCCTCGTGGTGTGTGTGTGTCTTTTGTGTGTCTGCTTTCTTATTTTTGTGTGTCTTGTCTTTTTGGAACGTGTCTTCGAAGTTTGTCAGCTATAAATGTGAACAATGTGATCCCCAAAATATTTTTAATAACATTTTTTGTTCTTAAGAATTTCCACATTGACATTCTCAACATTCATCAGTTTCCTATATTTCTATTTATTCGTGTGGGGTTGGGTGGGGGGTGTAATTGTCCAGTATATAAGTTAAACAAGTTAAACACTTGATTCTCCGTTTCTAATAATACTTTCCTGCTGACATGAAGTGCAAAGATTATATTGAATCAACTGTTTTTACCGTGTCGTATTAGATCCTGGCGAGAAAAATTGTCTATCTTGCATATTTATAAATCTAGCATTCGTCCTTGCTTTGAATACTGCTATCACGTCTGGTCTGATGCTCCTGCTATACATTTAGAAATTCTTGATAAATCCCCAAAATTTGTAATTTGACATCTCGTCTTCAGTCACGTTCCTATCTCCGTAATGTAACTTTCCTATGCCTTTTCTATAAATAATTTCATGGTAATTGTTCGGATGAATTTTCCTCTATGGCGCCTAGACTTGATAAATTCAAACGCAGTACTACATTGGCGGCAAGGTCTCAACATTTTACAGTTGAAATGGCTAGATGTAACTAAGTTCTATGCTAACATTTTCTTTTATCGCACTTCTCACTTCCGGTTACTTGCTTCCCAGTCAACTTTTATTTCCAAAAATTTAATTGCGATGTCAATTGTTATCTATTTTCTTTAATTTCTGTTCTTTTACTCTTCATAATATTTTTTTTCTTTTTCGTATTCTCTAACACACAGTACACCATCTTGCGTCTTGTGACTTTATTGCTTTGCTTGAGGTGAAAATGATTTTAAAAAATACAGTAATTACTTATCTCAATCTGCTATATTTTGGCAAGATACTAATTTTCAAATCGTCAGTTTTTATATTTCAAGAATTGTTTACTATTTTTTTAGTACGACTTAATTTTTTGATTCCAAATGATTTCTATATTTTTAGATATATTTCTGATATGCTGTATGTATTTTATACATAAGCTAATTTATTGTAACCTGGCCTTTTTCACACTTTAGATAGAATAGCCCGTCCTTCTTCGATGTGCCATGTCCATTCAGGAAATTGGTTATTATGGCTCTCCAAAATTTCATGTTCTTTGTAGGTCTTTTCTCAGCCATCTTTCATCATTATCTGCCATAGAAATTTCAACTGGCTCTTTTTTTATTCCATCTTACTTAAAACTTCATCATTACTCACATGGTATTCTGAGTATCCTTCTGTAGAAACACATTTGTGTTGCCTCAAGTCTTTTCATCTGTGATTAGATTGTTCAGCATTACATAACAGTTCAGTACTCTTTTCTCTGTTTCCAATGAAATTTTCCTGTTTCATAATTGCTTAGCTTTTGGAAAACGTATCTCGCTACCCCAGTGCACTTTCGGATTAAAGCGGATGTTTACATCTTTGTACTTTGCTGATTTGGGTGTCTCCATTTTGAAATTTGCATGTTGAGTTGATTTTTTTTTTTTTTTTTTTTTTTGACAATACATTCTTTCCTTCAGTATCTTCTGTCGGAGTTCTTAGTTTCCTTTCTGTGTCTGCTATCAGTACTATGTAATTTCTGTTGCCTTATGTCTCTTCAAAAGTGATTAGATTGTTCGGAATTCACTGCCATATGAGAGGACTGATTTTACATTACTGTCCAGTACTTTTTTTTTTCTAACGAAATTATCATGTTTATTAATAAGCTTCCTTAGCTTTTTGGAAAGAATCTGTCGCTAACCTAATTCACCTTCGGATTTCCGCTCTCTTTAAAAAAACTTCCCAGATATTTAAATTGTTCTACTTGCTTAATTGTAGCATCTTCAATTTGTATGTTATGCTGTTCCTTTTGCTGACAACCATGTATTCTGCCATCTAGTAATTGATATTTAGTTTTTTTCTTCCTTCTTTCCTTCTCTACATTCTGTAAGATTACTTCTAGTTCCCTTTCTGTGTCTTCTATCTACACAGTATCATCTTCATATTTTATGTTAAGACTTTGACCGCCAATGATGAATCCTGGTAAGAATTCTAATTCTCTTAGAATCACTTTACCGTCAAGGTTGAATAAATCCGGCGAGAAGACCCATCCTTGTCTTACGCCCATTTTTATTTTTGTATATTTACTGAATTTATTTTCTAGCATTATGCAGATGGTTTGATGCCGGTATATATTCTGGGTTTTTCTAATATCTTTCCCATATGGCTTAATCTCTTATACCACAAACAATACACAAAACATTGTTATTCTAGTTCCGTATATACTGTTGTATTTGACTGTTGTGATTTTGAAGTAGTAACTCAACTCATCTAATCCATAAAGAAGACTTGCGCAGGATCGATCTTACCACCTTGTCGGAGGGATATAAAAAAAAGAACAGAACCACTAAGAAAAGTTTTAGATTCATGCTTTTTTAAAAGATGTAAAAACAGATCAGTATTGGTCAATTTAAATCTTTTGAGGTAACTTTTAACTGTTCTTTCGAAATTCAAAATTAATAAATATATATCTAGCATTATTCCTATTTCGACTTATTTGTGCTATCATGATAATGTTTCGGCTGATAAATTCTTCAACCTGGGATTTATAGAAACTTCCTCATAATAACAAACATATAAATAAAAGTTTGAGTGTCCGAATAATGTTGGACATGTTAATGACTCTTCTAAACGTTAATTAACACACAAAAAATGCAAATGCTGTAATCCTTTGCACATAGTTAAGAAATAACTACATCTATTAGTTTATGTTTATACACTGAATTATTTTTAAAAAAGTGTCCTATATCGTGTATTTAATCTCCTATTTTCAAAAAAAAAAAATACAGTTTTAAACTTTTGAAGAAAGCTAATACTGACGTACCCGTGAATAAATTATCAAGCATGGATTGAACTCGTTTCTTTGCCTACAAAATATCTTGCTGGCGTAAACATTTTCTAAAATGAAGCTAGTTTACCACAAGATCACAGTAGTAAGGCGAGATTAGAACGTGATCTACGAGACTACCATGTTAACTTTAGCGTAGCGTAAACAGCCTGGAGTGTGTGTGTGCGGGCGCGCGCGCATATATATATATATATATATATAATGTAAATTTCATTAGTTATTTTTATTTTGGTCGAACCGATGCTTTTTGAAAAAAAAACATTGGGCTCGCTATCGAATACATCAGCTATATAGCAACAGGAATGACAGAAAATTTTCACGGTGTCATCTTCGTGGGCGTTATCGAGTTACCTGTATTGATCCACCTTCTCTGCTGTGAAAACACCGCCCATTGAAGGTTACTTCCCACGTTCGTCGGATTCTTAATACAAGCGTCTACTTTGCAAAAAAGACTCTTTTATAAAAGACCACTTTATGTAATCTCGTATTCAAATGTTAAAAATCCGATATTGTCTTTTATTTAAACAAATCCTCAGAAAGGTAAATTAAAATGACTAACGTCTCTGCGGCAAATAACATCGGTAGATGTCTATCGTAGATTTTACTGATTAAATACAAGGTGAAGAGATTCTGTTGTTCGTGTATATTATTTGGAAATACATTTTTCTTGTATATCTGCCTCTTCGTTCATCAAAAAGAATTTCATGAAAAATACATAGAATCTTTTATTTTATTTAACGGTATTTGCGATTAATTTTAAAGCGTTAAGCAATCTAAGAAAAAGGAAAATTTTGTTTAAAACGAAGACACTTCAACTATTATGTAATATAAGTTCTCTTATAAGGCAATAAATGCTGGACTATATTCTCGCATATAACAAGACACGAGAAATGTTTCTAGCAGGAATGCTGAAAATACCATCGACAAAACGTATGAGGAACGAGGAAGTCTTAAGAAAAATGGAAACAAAATTTAAACATAGAATGTATACTTAGAATTAAAGATAGTTGAAATTTCTGGGACACATTATAAGGAAAGATGACTTTAAGAATTTGACACTCTCAAAGAATATTGAATGAGTAGAGCGAAATAGTGAGTAACTTAAATGTATGTGTAAATAAATGGCAGAATAATGAATGGATAGTGAGGAGACAAACATAACTCCATTCTACGAAAGATAGGAAGTTATGGAGAGCCATGATAACCCTCGTCCTAACAGGAGAAAGGACATAAAGAAAAATCTAATTATTGCTATAAAATCTAAATATTAACCCGAAAACTCGAGTCATGTTCTTAAATAACATTTTCAGATCGATACTTTCATATGGATATCAAATATCTAAACTGTTAGTTGTATATAACCATTTTCCTACATCAATTGTTAAAATTGCTTTTGGGCGAGTGAAGCCTTTGTTTCTTGGTGTTGTCTTCTTCGAACAATGTGGATTGGCGCTACAGCATCAGAAATATAACAATAACAGAAACCATATCACCTGAGTACTTTCAACAGCTAAAATGGTCATCACCTGTAACTCGAACAGAAAATCATGACATAATCAAGATGTTGACATTAGACACTACCTTCAAATAAAAGGTTAGGAAGGAACCCCATCATCAATACTGGAAAGAGTGATAACAGCTACTGGACTTGAGAAGCGTATTTTCCTGAAAAAAAAAATCTTTTAAAAGAAAGAATTTGTAAATTTCAACCGATAATAGTATAAGCTGCTCGGTGAATGAATTCCGAATGTTTCCTCATAAAAAGCGGCTAATATTACCATTAATGCTCGTCTTCGGCAAATTGGTGCAAGCTTTCCCACTACAAGGCTCTGCCAGGTGCGAAGTTCGATAAACGTGTAACATCACTGAAAACGGCACTCGCATAGCAGAGTTCATATTCTGACCGAGGCATTTAGTTTTCTTTCTTTTCCTTAATCATTTCACCCCAAGCAAAGCGTTAATGCCACAAGTACGCAGGTGGGGAAGTTACAGGGAATTAAAGAGAATAAGAATAGGTAAGTTTCGTAATGCCCGTTTGTAGGAGAGACTTTGTAAATCACAGATACAAGTAACACCTTCGAATAATACTCGGTCAGCGTCACTTTATAACAGAAGGATTGAGAAAATGACAAAAGACGAACGGGGTTCAAATGGACAGAAGATGGTGATTGACGTTGCATCTGTCTTTTCTATAAATATTTTCATGGCAATTGTTCTAATAACCTTTCCAAATTGGTACCTCAACTTGCTTGTCATTTTTATTTACATACATTTGTGGCATTAGTAGTAATATTATATTAGTTTGACTTTCCTTAATATAGTATTGTCATTTCTTTATTATTTTTCAATCACTGTTGCTTTTTATTGCGAGTCCTTGAAAGTCATTTTTGCAGCATTTGATAAGTAATGCCATCAATGCTCGACGGGCTTTCATTTTAAGAACTGAAAATGATTCATCTAAGAAAGAAAATATTACTGCTAATACTACTACTTTTATGTGCCGCGTCACTTCAGGACATAGACGATCAAGGCTCTCCACAACTTCCTATCCTTTAGCAGTTCTTCTTTTGCTAAGATTCTCACACCGAGTTTCACCATCCATTCGCACAAGCTCCTCAAGTAAGTGGTTCGCTGCCTTCCACTATCTCTTGCGCTCAGTATGCTACGTGAGGATTAGGTTTACCAAGCTCTCTTTCCTCATTACGTGTTCATGGAATTTCATCTGTATTTTTCTGATGTTGAGTAAAATTGTTCTTTCTGTTGCCATTTTCTTTAAGACTTCATTGTTGTTTACTCGCTTCGTTCATGAAATTTTCAGTATCCTTCTGTATAACTAAATTTCTACTGCCTCTAGTTTTCTCCTCGTCCGTGGGCAGATTGTCCAACATTTACCGCCATGTGAGCAGATGGATATCACATAGCAATCCGGAACTCTTTTCTTTGTTTCTATTTCTTTTCCATTTCTTAACATTTTAGCTTTTGGAATGCCTCTTTCGCTAGTTCAATGTATGTTCAGACCTCGATGTCACATTTTCCATCATATGTTAAAGCACTTCCCACATATTTAAAATTAATTTTCGTTTTTTTCTTCTGGCACTGTGTTTTCCGCTATTTTCATCACAGACGCTAGTAATCTATCCATAAAATTCCTTCCAAGATCTCAAAAGAAAAAAAAAATAAATATATATTTTGGGATTATATAAAATTGGAACCCTCTTCCGACTTCTTACTTTCCTGTCAATTATGATCTTCAAAACTTGAAATTCAACGTCAGTCGTCATCTTTTAATTCTCCTAGCCTTTTCCTCAGTTTCTTTTAGTCTCTGCATTCCCCCACGCACCTTAGTGGCTGTATCGCCTTTCTTGGAGTGAAATAATTAAAAAAAATATTATTGTTATATATTCTGATACGAATTATTTCTTTTTTATTACTATGTTGTTGCCGGTTTACGGCCATATCACGCTGAAACACCGATTCTCGTATGATCACCGAAGTTAAACAACGTTGTGCATGGTCAGTACCTAGATGGGGGTCCGCTTGGGAATATCGAGTGGTATAATGGATAACGCCTCGAAATTGGAAGCCCCAATTATATTCACTTATGTGCAAATATCCTTGGGAAAGTATAAATCCACCTCTTCTCCCCACAATTTTTATCAGTAAATCATTATCTCAAAAATAATTACAACCTAAAAATTTTCTGACTTTGAATAAACTGCAAAATGTTGATAAACCGTAAAAAACCAAATCAATCATATCAAATACTACGTTGCGGTCGATGGCTTTTCTGAGTGGGGGTAACATTCGCCCCGAAATTTTAAAGGATAATCATAAATCCGAGCGAAAATATTCGTTCTCATTTGGAATTAATTCAAAATAGTTCTCCAAAAATAAACTGAACTTTATTAATCCTTTAAAAACGGACATTTTTAAAAGTTATATACATATATATATATATATATATATATATTAACAAATGGGAGGGAGAGGAAGAATATGGAAATAATTACTTACCGCAAAAGTGATGCTTCCACAAATGGGTAACCGGTCAAATGTAAACTAGATTGTGTTCTGATCAGAGCTTGCAGGGTGCGGCATAAACTTAAAGATGGTCGGAGATCAACATCGACCATCACTTCACAACTTCTGTAGTTTTTATTGTTATAGTTACTATAAGTACAAGGTGTTCTCGTGTAGGTTCTTAAATATATAAATAAATCGCCAACTTAAGGGTAATAAGTCTAGCGCATCAAAAGTGGACAGATATTACAAAGAAACACTTTGCGTGTTATATCTATATATAGTTTTTAAATCAATTCACCCCAAGCAAAGCAATAATTCCACTAAGACCAAAGACCTACCTGAAATGAAAGAGAATAAAACTTTAGAAGGATCCAGAAAGCCAAGCCTAGACAGGAAACGATGGATAAACCACTACTCCTATTTGAAAGACCGGGGAAGAGAGTGAATAGGACAATAGTTTTTCAGCTGCTGCTTCTTGGTAGTGCCTTTTTCAGGGACATACTGCTGGGGAGGCGGAGTTGCCGACTTGGCTCCCCTCCTCACTATCTTAGTCCATTCACCATTCTCCCTGGGCTGCACTGTTGTTGGTCGAAGCTGGGTTTCTGCCTGGACACAACTTTGCCAAGTAACCGACAAACCACAAGCCCAGAAGTATGGACGGCGACCTTTCACGACCACAAAGATGTTTTGGCAGCCGCAGGCGATCGTATCATTGAAATTTGGCTGGGTCAATGTCACCATAATTCCGTAATCACTGGTGGCAATGCCCGCCTTATTTTTGAGGGAGGATATCCTCTCCACAGAGCCATAATCTGAGAATGCCCCCAAATGGTCCTCAGTGATGTACATTGTAACCCCATGCAAGATAATCTAGGTCCTCCGAGTGCACATGTATTCGGTTTGCAGTTTTAGTAGGTGGTGAGTATGCTGCCGGCTAATACTTTCGCAGCCTCTTCTATTGCCAGCAGAATTTCCTACGTAGCATTTAACCTACGAGCCAACACTTTGGCCTCAATATTCAAGGCCTTGAGGGTATCCTCCATCATCTCTCTTTTGACAACAATGAATTTTCACGTCTTGACGTCAACCATCAACAGGGAGATGGTTTTCGTTGTAATTGCATTCATTACCGAAGGCAGTGGCAAAAGTTCATGTCCTGAGATGAAGGAGCTATACTCCTTTCTCAGGCTCTGGAAGTATTGTGGTTCTTTTGGGGGGTTTTCCGCCACCCATGAAATGGATCTTTTCCTGGGGTACCTCTGCCATAGCAGGAAGGAAAACACAGAAAACAAAAAATCACGTGACAAAAATTAGAAACTTCAAACTCACTATTTCGACAGACCAACACAATATAAAACAAAAGTTCTCAGCTAGCGTTTAGCGGGCAGACGAAAAAAAAATGATTGATTGTAACTGAATCCAGATCCACCTGTCATTCAAAACTCAAGGAAGTTCCGTTAAACTTCCACTCTCTCAGTAAAATGGCATGCTATTTATCTTTTTAGATCAGTTCATCTTGTGGGAAGGGTACTACGGTACTCCACAACAATAATTATGAGAAAATTCTAAGGTTATTAGTCTTTCTCGAATTCATAAATAAGCCTACTGAACAATAATCTTCAATTTTTACTATAGAGAAAAGAACATATTTTTCAAGAACACAAGTATAATCATAAATCATTCAAATTTACAGCAATGTTGATTTTCTTTTTCAAAGATCAATTCCACAAAAATAATTTTTAAAAGAAAATCTACAGCAAATTGAAACTGACTGGGTACAATCATAAGAACAGTTAGATCTACTGAGAATTTTACAAGTAAACTCAAAGCTAATCACATAAGCACAATCTATAGACAGTCCAAGAGAATAACTTCTCTGAAAAATTCAAAAAAGATCGCCTATTAAAGACGAGCAGTCTCGATTTATTCCTCGAGGATGAAAGGATTTGTCAAACTGGATGTTGCTGTTCACTCCGAGTGCAATTCTCTGCAAGTATAAAAAAAATAGTCTAGTAAATATTTTAACTTGTTAGGGAACTGAAGACATTGTAAACTTGTAACAGTTATACTCATTACTAAGATACTCGCTTAAGAGAGTTCGTAAAAGCTTAACATACACATTGGGAGAGCGAGAAATCGAGAAAGAACTGAAAGCATCTAAACAACATCCCAAAAACCCAAGAAGAATAACAAAAACCAAAATACTGCATTACTGAGGAGACTAAATCGTAATTAATCCCCAACGTGAAAAGTGAAATTAATTTCGTAATAAACTGCATCGTATTTATTCATGAACGCCTATCATATCTCGATAATTTGCATACTATCTTGGCCATTGTTCTCGCCTAGATATTCGCTGAATCAAAGTTGGCATCGCCTAAAATAGCATTATGGATGATAACGATTACATATTGAAAATTGCTTTTATTATACTCAAATTTAGCCGTCTGCAGTGTCCAACCATTTTCAGTCATTCTCGCCATAAGTAAAAATAAAATGTAATCTTATGTTCTTTTTTTGTTAAAAAGCCATAATAGAATATATAAGAAATATTGCAGAATTCTTAGTACCTAGATTATCTGTTCTTATACAGACAGGTTTCTCGTGATGGATAGATTTCGGTCTATCGTCTGTTTTCACGCCCTATCAGAATCTCTCGGCTGCTTGTGAACTATATGCGTCATTGGCACGCGAGTTAAGTGCCGTGTCGGACATTTTCCAGACATTCCATCCTCATTAATTCATTAAAGCGGAGGGTTAGAAGTGGAGGAGAAACTTAGATTAAATCCGATATATCGCAATACAACAATAAAACCTGACAAATATAACAAAATGTAGGAAGTAATTACTCATATTAAAACTAGATTTTTTTTTTTGTATGGTGAAATAGTAAATTTTTTATTATTTGTGTTTATCAATATGTCAAGTAAAGAAATTTTATAATTAGTATTGAGTTCATACGTGAATTTAAGGACAGAATTATTTTGGAAACGTTTTTGAAGTTGAAGTATTTCATCACATAATACCTCATCTCAGAAATATAGACAGATACTGAAAAAGTTAGAAATATTAAATTCAGGAGGCTAAAATTTCATTTATAACTTTTTATTTTTATAATCTGAAAGTGCTTACATATAATTTTATATTATCATTTTTGTTAATCATTTCACACAAGTCAAGGCAGTAAAGCTACTAAAACAGAAGAGATTACTTGATGTGAGAATAAGAAAATAAAGAAATATTATGAAGCAATGAGAACAAAACAGTAATGTGGAAGACAGTGAGAACAGAACCAACACTAGCGAATCATTAGTTGGTATCAAGATATGATCGTGAAGCAGTATTTATTGAATTTAGTTTAAACTAGCACAAAATTAAAACAGTAAGGCACATAGTAAGGACCGAATTCAGTGCAGTTAGAATGGTTTTCAGGTTTAAGTTATTCACTCCAACAGTTGTTCAGTCTGTTGAACTCATTCTTTTTATCGATTTGTTTCTGTCGATCAAGTCTACAACTTTCTTCAATGGTACAATATACAAAGAAAGAAAAGGGTTGTTCTCCAGAAATGGATCTTTTATTACATGTGTCCATTCAGGACGTTATAGCCATCAAAACTTTTTCCAATTTCCTCTCCTCTGTAGTTTTAAGCAATGTTTATTCTTTTACTATTCTGCCAATTCTATGTTCTGCCATCCATTTAACAAACTTGTTAGGTAAATTATGCGCTGTTTCACTCTGCCCATTTTGCCTTTCAGTATATCCTGTGAGTGCCATATTCTCTAAGTCGTCTTTTCTTATCATGTGTCCCCGATACTTTGACTGCCTCTTTCTGATTGCAATTACAAATGTCCTTTATGTTCATTTTCCTTAAAACTTTCACGTTGTACACATGTTCAGTTTATAGTATACTCAGCAACCTTCTGTCAAACCATATCTGTTGCCTCAAGTTTCCTGTGAGAAGATTGTCTAGCATTCACTACTATAGCTATACTAAAAACAAAGGGGGGGGGGGGATTTTCAATGGTAAACTTAACACATATACTGATTAACCGAGTTAATTTTCACTAACGAGAGCAACAATAGGATTCAATTCTTAGCAATCAGTATAACACAAGCGATTCAATATTTATACTCACCAAAGCTCCCTAATTTTCTATTTATTTAGCAAAGTAATCAACAAAGCATTAGAATTCATACGCGCTTGACTTACACACTTGTCAGAAAGGTAAGTATATTTTTCCTTTCCCAATGTTACCCATCTATTACCTTGATCTTATTCCTAAGAGGATAAGATGAGCTCTTTTATCTTAAGATACGATTTACCGTACCAAACTTTCCCGTCCATCTTTAGCTAAGGATTTATGTATTTCAAATTTGACTTTCAGTCGAAAGTTTATTTTTCCCTTAATATTCTTTGTAGTAACATCTCAGTCGCCGCGCTGCATTGTTAGATTTACTAAACTTATGATTTTTAACTAACATAAGAATATCATCAACTTATCTTAGGTAGATGGGTGTTTTTTTTTAATCTGTAAATATCTTATTTTCGGGGTTCGACATGTAGAAATTGCTAAATGTCGGACCCAGTACTGAACCCATGGAGACGCCATCACGTTATATATATATATATATATATATATATATATATATATATATTATGATCGAAGAAAGGGACTCCAGTAGTACCAGCTAATAGTAGTTTTCTTAATATATTAGGATTAATTTTAAGTGAGGGTAAAGATGAGTTACTGTATATATTTCTTATAATTATGTCAATAGTTTCACTAACAGGGACATTTGTAAATAAGTTTTCAACATCAAGTGAATCTATGATTTCATTGTCGGGTGCTTCACTTTTTAGGATTTGGATTACTTCTAATGTTAAACTTAACACTATATTTACTAGGAAGGTAGGGAGTAATAAGTTAGTTAATGTATTTTGTTAGCTGATATACAGAAGTTGGAATTTGCGATATGATAGGACGGAGAGGATAGTTAGGTTTATGTGTTTTTGTAGTGCCGTATATGTAGCCAGGTCTATAATCACCAACAATTTTAGAGAGTTTTAAATAGTTCTGTTCAGCATTATTAGCATTAATAAGTTTATTAAGCTTTGATTTTAGTTGGTTGGTCGGGTTCTTGTTGAGTTTTTTAAATTTTATGTGATCACGGAGTATGTGGTCAAGTTTGTTGTTGTAATCCAATTTGTTTAGGATGACAAAAATGTTGGTCTTAACAGCTTTTTTTACGATTATGTCAGGGTGGTTGCGTAGTTCTTGTGCTGTAATTTTCAGTTGTTTAGAAAGCATTTTTGTGGGGAGTTTCTGCTTTTATCATGCCAATCCTTGAATGCCTCGGCCTTAAGTAAGTCTTTAAATTCTGGTGTAGTTTCTATTAGTTGTTCATTCTGGAGTTTTAACGATGTTTTAGTATACTGTCTCAATTTCTTTTCTTTTTTTAAAGTCGATTGTACTTATGGTATATATGGCAGTTAGGTCCAAGGTTAATTAATTCTTTTTGTTGCTTAGTTATATATATACCTCGACGCGC